TTTCTCCCTCATTCTCCCATCTACCCCCCCACCATCTACCCCCTCCAACTACCCTCCACCATCACACCACCCTACCATCCCCAGAAAGATACCAGGTCATATATCAGTTAACATAGAAAACAGTGTGAATGTACAACCCCCACCGCCTTATTCTCTTACCTCCCCCACATCTCACCACTTTGACTTTTCAATCATGGAACAAATCATCATTAGAGTTCTCAAGTTACGCCACCATCAAAGACATTCCATTTAGATCCCGCCTCGTCATTTCCATCAACAATTGTCTTTTATGAGGCTATTGACCAGAAAGTGGCGTTTATAGTAACCTAGCATCAGCTTGCTTGAGCAACATCACAGCTTCTCATGTTTCCCGACTGCCCCCAACTGTCCGTTAACTGAGATGGTTATAATCGACTGGGGCAATGACAACCTTTTTGTCTCCGAAATAACGGTGAAAACCTAAAGCTGGTTTGTTTGCGTCTTTCATTCCCTTTTTTCTGTCTTTTTAAAAGGAGAAATTCATTTACTTCAAGTGCCACATCTAAAATAAATCTATAATTTTCTGTGAAAACAAACATTTCTTATTTCTTCATTTAGAATCTGAATCTCCAAAACGTTCACCCTGAGCACATGCAGCCGATACCACAGATTAATTATGAAACAAAACAAATAACATTTAAATAACTTGCTAGATATACATACATGTACGAGTATACTTGAAAATGTACCGGTATATTATTATAATATAGTGCTCATAGTTTAATAACCTCAACTTCCAACTCAAAAGGAATAAAAAGTTCACAAAACGAACCAAAAAACAAAAACTTTTTACTTTTTAAATGGACGACTTTTCCAAACGAAACAAACTCAATACAAAACAAAGAAACGCAGAGACGAACACCATGCATGCTTACAACAATAATCCACCTTTTTTTTTACAAGAACTTGGTTATCCGTACATCGTGTTTTACTATCGTATCTACTCTGTGCCACCACTTTCCATAGAGGAAATTTACTCCTTAATCCGATCCGTACGCGTTGCATAGCAGTCTGTCTAAATGAGGTTTTTTTTGGAATACTGAATGTTTCAAAGAGTTCTTCGCGCTCGTCAGTTGATGGGCATATGGAATTATTGCTATTATCTAAAAGGTCGTTAGTTTTCATTGCTTCTGATTTTAAAAAATACCTATCTATCTTGAATAGAAGTAGAGTTATTCGCATTTTAAGGACAAGAGGGTGGCCCGGTTTCAGAGGTATACTTAGAGTGAGCCAAAGGTTTGCGAATTCCATAGATTGAGAGACCATGTAAACTGAAAAATAGCTTTTTGTATGTGTTTTTATATAAGTTTTTTTTTTAATGAGCATAAAATGTACTGAACA